CCCCCCCCCCCTTTTGGTTTTGGGTAAACATTAGGGATGTTTCAAAACTGTGAAGTGACTGACGTGTCAAAACAGTCCCAACTGGTAAGGACATTAATGGCTTCACTTGAATTTAAACCAGCTCTAGACAGGAAAAAACCTAAGTCCCCTCGTGTGCTTTTTCAGTGGGGTAGCACATCCCGTATTTAGAATAAGTAGGGGTGCCTTGCTTAAATAAACATAGCATTTAATGTCTAATTGTGTGAAGGGTTTATGGATAAAGCTGTATTTCTGTCACATTGTGGCAGTACCTTCTGCTTTCATATTAAACAGCTTGTTATTTAAATATTGGATCAAAATGGCTGGCTTCAAAATGTAGTCATTAATAAACTAATTTTATGTGCACCTGTGTAGGAGAATCAACGTCCTGTATACTTTCTTTGCCTTGTTCCTGTTCTCAGGGCGACTACTGCTATGTAGTTACCAGGAGATGCAATTCTAGATCTTAAATCAAATTAGCCCAGGTTTCTGAGGTGATAACTGGAAGAGAGATTGTCTTCTCTCACTCCATACATTGCCATCTTCGATTACCAGCTAAGATACAAAATCACTGTACTGTAAATAGTTAATAAATGAAGGCTTGGCTCAGGCTGCAGATTACCTAAGAGTATTTATTTTGGAGTGTGTGGATAAACCAAATATATTTTTATTACTTCAAGTCCTGGTATATTAGTATAAGGAGAAATGATTAACTTTCTGTTGTGTTTGTCATCCAGTAAGAACATGACTTAATCAACCAGCTTCAGTGTTACTACTTAGATGGCTGTGTGTTTCGTACATGTGTCCTGAGCTGTGAGAACTGGTGTCTGTAGCTGTGTGATCTATTGGAATGTGACCTTTTCTCTCTCCCTTTAGCAGTAGGCGTCTAATTTGCTGTGGAAAAAATCTGTAGGGTCTTTTGGGATTGGGGTTGGTGAGGAATCAATTCATGCGCAGTTGTTTTAAAGCCAATGAGTTTCATTTGCATATCTCTGGGGAAAGAATGGGAGCCAAAGCCTTAAAGTATTGTGTGGTGGGTGAGCCTGCAAAGGGCGTCTTCTCGCCACACTAGTGGCTGAGTTCTCAATAAAAAAGGTGGGTGGCCATTCTTGGGAAGTCACCTTATGAATTCATACACTTTTCTAGACTCCCTCTGGCAATTTATTGCTCATAATTTAGGTTACTAAATGAATGATTGCTGACAAGGCAAGTGAAAAAAGCACGTAATAGAATAAAAGTGATCTTTTCTTTCTATCCAATCAAAAGACTTATTTCTCTTTCCCAAAATTTGACAAAACTGGGTTGTATATCATCCTTTGCTATTGAAATAAGTAATGACAGTGATTTTCTCTTCTATTTGTGTCTTTATAATCTCCTGTGTGATACAGCTGTCAAAAATAGCGGGATTGGGTATGTCCAGGTTACCCATATCCTGCGTTAGCTAGCTCCTTCGCAAGGAGTTGTAGGGGGGGGACTCTGATAAGTAACAGACAGATACTAAGGAGGAAATTGCTCCAGATTGTGATCTGACCTGATGTACGCGCTGAGGCCAGGGAATGAAGCAGAACCGGAGTATTTGTCCCTCTCTGGGCGAAGGAGGCCTCTGCCAGATAGGAAGGGAGACGGCGTCTGCTATGGAGTGGAAGTTTCTAAAGCCTAGATATATCTGCGGTGGGGGGTTATGGAGGAGGGGTGAAGCAGGAGACAGCCACTTCTATCTACATGACCTTTTGAGGCAAGGACCCTGCTCATTAGTCAATGTGCCCTATTGGCATCCTCTGCCCTAAGCCGTCCCTCAGTAGACTCTCACTTGGGGATTTTTCTCTGGGTTACGTCCTAAGCATTTTATAATTTAAAATGTTCCATTGTTTTCAGAGTTTCCCCTAAATTATGTGAAAGGGTTTACATTACATTGGTAGGACCTGTATTATAGAGCATAATGGTATTACTTCAGCGCTAGAGGCAGGCCTAAGTTCCAGGGTCTTTAAAAAAAAATTGCTCTAATGTGGTAGGAATGGAGCCCCTGCCCCCCTATTCAGCAGATTAGAAGATCATCTTTGAAGTTTGTACGAAGGGAATAAAGCTGCTATAAACATTTGTGTGTAGGTTTTTGTGTGTACATAATATTTCAGCTCATTTGGGTAAATGCCACGGGAGCGGGGTGGCTGCATCATATGGTAAGACTAAGTTTAGTTTTAACAAGAAAGTGCTAAACTGTCTTGCAAGGCTGCTGTACCAGTTTGCATCCCCACCAGCAATGAGTGCGAGTTCCTGTAGCAACTCATCCTTGTCAGTGTTTGGTGTTCTCAGTGTTTTGAATTTTAGCTAGTCTAATACGTGTGTAGTGGTATCTCGTTTTAATTTGTAATTCCATAATTTCATAAGATGTTGAGCATATTTTTTATATACTTGAATCTGCATATTGTCTTTAGTGAAGTGTCTGTTCAGATCTTTTGCCCAGTTTTTTAGGTGGGTGGTTTTCTTAATTTTAGGAAGGGGCTATAAGAAGGTTTTATTTGGTTCTTAAGCCTTGATGATGTGAAAATAGTGGGATAACTTTAAAAATTGTTTATATTTTATTTTTTGAAGGAAATACTCTAGAGATAGGAAGCCGTATAGTCTCTCTCCTATCCTGTACTTCAGCCACTTACTTTCCCCTAGGCAGCCGTGTCATCAGTTTCTAATGTAAACTTCCAGTGATATTTACTGGATAGATTAGCAAATATAATAAACATTTTCATTTTTTAAAATATATAGCATAATATACATACTGTTCTGTACCCTTTTCCCACTTAATACATCCCAAAGATCATTTGATATCATTATACAAAATCTTTCCCCATTTTTTTAAAGATAATCTTAGAAGAAGGGAGGGAGAGAGAAGCATCCCTCGGCTGCATCCTGCACACGCCCTGACTGGGGGTGGAACCTCCGCCTTCTGGTGTACTGGATGGGGCTCTTCCTGGCAAGGGCTTTCCTCATTTTTAAAAAATGATTGTATACTATGGGTGTAAGCAATTGAACCTGTCCCTCCCTTACTAATGAACGTATAAATTGTTCCCAATCTTTTGCTGTTATAATGCTGAAATACCTTGTATAAATTTGTCATTTTGTACATAAACTTCTCTGTAGGATAGATAATGTGCACTTGTAATTTATATCAAATTAAATTTATATCTTTATATTTTTCCTTAGTTTGCACCAACAGTGCATGTGCCCATTTCCCCACAGCCTCACTGACAGTGTATTGGCAACTGATGCCAGCCTGAGGTGTGTGCATGCACACACACACACACACACACACACACAGGTATCCTCTTGTGAAGCAGCCTTTCACGTTTAGAGCTTTGGATTTCCTTTTCTGTGAATTCTCTTCATATCCTCTCCCATAGTTTTCTCATAATCCCCATCTAGTTAATTTTAAAGCAAATCCAAACCATAGTATCATTTATCTGTATTTGGGTATACTTTTCTTTAAAAAAGACTTTAAAAATACCATCATTCCTAAAAATACTAACTTCTTATCACCAAATATTTTTCTGAAATGTCCTTTTTAAAAAAAAAATTTTGAGTCAGGATCTAAATAGTCCACACACTGCTCTTGGTTACTATGCCTCTTTCCCACCCATGGTGTTTTTTAATATAAAGTTTCAAGCGTACAGAAAAGTTCAGTTATAAGCATGCCTGTGCCTATCACCTCGATTCTACATGGTAATATTTTGCCATACATTCTTTATTATCTGTACATCCAAGGATCTATTCATGTGTGTGAAAGGAAGTTGGAAAAACACCTGTATTTGACTCACGCTTTTGGGCGTACACATTGTCAACACGTCGCCTGGTGAACTCAGTGAACAGATGTTGAGTGTACCGTGGGATGAGCTTTGATGTCCAGCGTGTGACCCAAACCCTGAGCAAGCTGCGGGCCGCTGCTCGGCCGCGTGGCTCCCACACCGCCCATCCCTTCTCCCCATCAGGATTGCGTTTTCACCGTGGATTAGTTTGGCCACTCGAGAACTTCGTGTGAATGGAATCAGGGTGTGCTGTGTCAGTCTCTTCAGCGTGCTTTGAGATCCGTCCGTGTGTTCCAGCTTCATTCCTTCTCATTGCTGAGTAGTAATCCGTTGTATGAAGGTGCCACAGTTTAACTTTTCACGTGTTAGATGAACGACTGGTGGACAATGGGCCGTTTCCAGTTTTGGGCTATTATAAATAAAGTTGCTATGAACCTCTTGTGCAAGCCTTCTTGTGGACCTGTGTTTTAATTTCTTTTGAGCACTTAGAATATCCTGAGTCATAAGATAGGTGAATTTTAAATTTTACTAGAAATTGACATACCTCTTTCCAAAGTGGTCATCCTGCTTTATATCCCCACAAGCGATGTAATCATCCCACTAGGTCTACGGCCACACCATCTGGTAATTTTAACCATTCTGTGGATAGTGGTATCCCATTGCGGTTTTAATTTGGTTTCCTTGACAATGATGTTGAGCACTTTTTCATAAGCTTTTGGGCCATTCAAATCTCTCTAGTGAAGTTAAAGTGCCTGTTTCCTACTTTAATCTGTATGTCTCCTCTTCCATTTTCTTTTTCCTTTATTTTTGAAGAAATAAGATTAACTTAGAAGTTTCCACAATC